AGCAGTTTTTTAATAATTTACAGAGAGCTATGGACGGTGGAAGGCAAAACACTGGTGACATAGCGGGAGCAAAACATAAAATAATGCTAAAGTAACCAAATAACATTTAGAAGTCACACAACTGGTTGATATTTACAACATTCACTAACAGACAAACCTCTGATGGTCCTTGATGAAAACAAAGCTGGTTACTGGTGCAGGATTCATGATGCAACTGCCAAGCCTTGCATTTATCCATATTGTAATAGCTTCTTACGCATTTTATTTCGCCAATTATACAAATCTACATACAAAACGATCACAACTAAAAATGGGTTCAAACGTCTGTCTCACCAAACAATCAGTGTCTCTCAGCCGCATCGACAGGAAGGGGAAGCAAACAGGAGGAAGTCAGCTGATGATGAGGCTAACACATGAGGCTATAGCATCAGACACACACACACACACACACACACACACACACACACACACACACAGCTCCCACCTCTGCAGCGCCTTCCTCCCTCTACCTCGTTAACAATATCATTAACGAACCTTATTAACGCTGCTAAATTTAAAACAACAGTTCCTCCTCCAGTGCAATTAACACAGCGGAGGCGAGGGAGGAGGTAGGAGGGGGGAGGAAGAGGAGGAATATCGGCCTTTTTATTGATTTGTATGTTCTGTCAGTTTAATGGAAGTGTTGCATGTAATCCACTACATCAAACATGTTTTCAACACGAAGTCATTTCAATATGACCTGTCCAAAACGTCCAACGTTTTTCACTATGTCATTATTTTAAGGGTCCCTCCAGTAATTTTACATATCAAAGTCCCTTACAGTTATATTTAATAATTTAGCTGACACTTTCATCCAAAGCGACTTACGATTGTTGTATATGTCAGAGGTCGCACGCCTCTGGAGGAAGTAGGGGTTAGGTGTCTTACTCAGGGACACATTAACCCTGACACATTAATGTCGCAAAGGCATGTGTCTTATCCACTGCACCATCAGCCACCCATGACTTGTCATGAGGCATACTACTTATTACTAAATCGCTATTACACTGAAGAGATGACGAGAAACAAAGAAAGACAGATGCAGGAATAGTAATAGAGAAATAGTAGCATGCACAAAACTAAACATGACATAAAGGATAATTTTTACCATTTTTAAACATATTTACATATATTTTGGGGTCGAGATGACTACTATTTTGCAGCCGACAGCTGAAGTGGCTGCAACGTATTCCTTCGGGGCAATTTTGCCCGTCAAGTAAACTGAAGTGTCGCTCAAGGACAATTTGTCGCCTCTCACGAGATTTCGGAGCAAGAATTGTCCTTGAGCGAGCATTCAGTTTAATATTTAAAACAAAGGGGGTCACCGGGAGTCCTTCGTAGGTGTCCCTTCCTTCTGTGATGTTGTCAGACACCTGGTGTAACAGTCTGAGCTTGTCGGTGGCAGCAAGAAGCACTTTCTGTGGACACCATTTAGATGGACGCAAATGTCCCGAATGATTTTGTTGCAGCCGCTGCAGCTACCTGCTGAAACATCTGCTGCACAGATTCAAAACTTTTTGTACCTACTAGTCATTTTGACACCAAAGAGGTGAAAATCCCAAGTTCAAAAATACCACAATTATCCTTTAAGAATGAAAATTTGGAAAGCAGAAACTGAAACTTCAAAAATATCTGATAAAACAGGCATAATCAATAAGGGGACATATTTGAGATAACATGCCTTCAGAAGATACAGTTATCAGGGATGCACCGAATGTTCGGCCACCAAAAATTAATCGGCCGAAAAAAAGCACTTTCGGTGTTTGGCCTACTATGTCAATAAATTTTACCGAACAATTACATTGACATGTCGGCAGTGTGGAAGCATTTTAAAGTGTCTGAGAAAGACACAAAAATGCCTGTTTGCAGTTCTGCTGAATTGTCTCCCAGCACATCCACTCCATCTGTGACTGACGTCTTAGAAAAGAACAGCTTTGAGTGTTTCTGTCACTCATCTGTGAGAAGGCGATTAAGCTAGCCGCATGTAAATTTGGAGTGCACACGTATTCAAGCCTTTACGGTAAATCCACTGTAACGGCCCAGTGCGAGCTGACAGGCAGGTTAGAGACTTTATCCTGTCAGTTTGTCTCTTTACAAAGACAAGTGTTTGAGTGTGAGAGTCCTACCTGAAGAGAGGCTGTGAAGTCTTCATGTTACGCCGTACGAGAACCACATACAACATTATTTATCAAACTGGGTCGGACTGGATGAATTTAGCGTGAGGACACACATGTGACAACGTCTGGAGGATATGGTGCATTTGCTGGGGACTATTTTCAGCGGCAGATGAATCCACATGTGGCACTCTAGTGAGCTTTTGGGGCAGCAGGACGGTGAATGTGGGGCTCAGTCAACCTGGTATTAACTGTTCGCGATGACTTTAACACCATGTCTCTGTATCTTTCCTGTCTTCTCTCCAACTTGTACCTCTTCTTCGCCTACATTTGACTCCCCCTTCTCCCTTCTTATCGCCCTCCCTCCCTCCCTCCCACCTCCCTTCTCGCTCCATCACACAGTCTCTGTCAGGTTAAACACAGCAATCAAGCATCTGTTTTTCTGAGGTGATGAGAGTCCATTGTGATGCTCCGACAGCAGGTTTAATTATATCTCTCTCCTGTCAATCATTTTCTGACAGATGGACCTGTGGGTGGGACAACCTCCAATCATCACCACCACCATCATCATCATCATCATCATCATCATCACCATCATTACCATCAGTCTTTTCAGTGATGATGTGCGGTTGAAAAGGAGGGGGAAAGATTAAATACAACACAGGTACACACTCAATACACAGGATTACACACACACACACACACACACACACCCTAAAACTGTTTGAAAACTGACTAACCTCCATGAAATCGAGCAGCTGGAGGGTAAAAACTCCTCCACCTTCTAAACCAGGGGCTTAGGAAAAGAGAGCAAATTAGGATGGAGGGATCAAAAGAGAAAAAAATCACCGGAGGTATAGAAGCAAACCGAGTGTGTGTGTGTGTGTGTGTGAGATGATTGGAGTGAGTCAGGTGAGACAGACTTGGGGCGGGTTTGTTGTTTGCTCGGCAGAAAATGTTTGGAAGCGCCCGGATAAACGTGCTGACACAGAGAGAGAGAGAGAGGGAAAGATGGATGGAGGAAAGGGAGGAGAGTTTCTAGGCTCCTCAGGGTGATCTGCACAGACATGAAGGAGGATGTAAATGAAAGAGAACTCTTTAACTCCTGCAGGACGAGATTCAACTCTTTTTTCCGTGCCTTATTCCTCTCGCCCATGTAACGCTTGTCCTTTCAGGATCTTAGAGCTGGTTACAATGATCAGAGGAGCAGCACAAGCTTCAGTTTCTTGATCAGCGACTTAAGTCATCTACAAAACGTTATTTAACTTAAAACATGTCACCTTTGACTTTCTTTCATACGAAACTCTCCTAAGTGAAAGTCTTGAGCTTGCTTCACTCACCCATCCACCTCTCCACCTCCTTACACGGTGCTTAGTCGCTCTTTATTTTACGTCACCTGACTTCTTCTGCCACTAGAGTTTGTGGCCTAACTAAAAACGTAAATATGGGTCGTAATAAGCTGCTGCGTAATTGACCTATACAACACATTCTCACGTCTGGTTAGACTTTCAAAATAAAACGCTAGTGTTTTGAAACATCTCCATTTTGAAACGGCACGTTACTAAAGTTGTGAAACGTTGCAATTTGGTTAGGTTTAGGCACAAAAAGTACTTGGTTAGGGTTAGGTAAAGAACACGTAAGTTAACTTACGTCACTTGCGTAACTCAAGCAATTCACATAACTAACGTAATTAATGTTGACTTTTTGTTTCACACAGGACACAAATCCCGGTTCTAAGTCAGGGTTCTGGCCCCCCATCCACCCCAACCACCTCCTTACTCAGTCTTTTCTGTTAAATATCATAGACCTGCCTTTACCATCAAAAACGGACTTCACAGGGCTTCCCCCGCTGCATTGAACTATGACGCTATAGGGATCCCCAGTACGTTAGAAACTGACGCCGATGGGTCTTGACCATGCGTCCATATGTGAGTAAGAATGGGTTGACCTATATGACCGTTTCTCTGGTGAGGATGGGTTAAAGTGTCCAGTTTTTCCCATAAAATGATTTCTTTGTGGTGGCCCACCACACTATCACCCAGACCGCCACATATTGATTGTCGATTTTTTTACTGTTTAAAATGGGTAAAATTATAGTCCACTGTAGTGCATAGATTTGCTCAGCCCCTCCCCTCGCTCGCTCGCTCGCTTTCTCTCTCTCTATCACATACACATTATTTCATACTTTCATGCTTCCTTATTTTCCCGGAATTATTGCAGCAATATGCCAGCTCGCTGTGCTGTAAGAAAGGTAAGGAGCTGAAAAGTGTTGATGTATGTGTGAAAAGCCACAGCCGGCATGCCGGTGTTGTGTCGTGTTATACGCCGTTGGTTCCAGAAAGCCCTGTTGCTACGTGAAAGCACACATGGTTGCATGATTTTGCCGCAAACATTGGTTCAGTAGCCTATATGAATAAGCAAATGCGGTATTCTGGCTGATATGTTTTCCGCATTTATTGTGGTATCTCTGTATGAAAGTGGCTGACAAAGGACCGGTCTGTGAACAGCCCCTCTTCTTCATGCACAGTCTGAATCAAAACATGATCAAGCCCTGGAGGAAGGATTGTTGCCAGTTTTTTTTTCGCATAGAGTAGATTCCTGAATCAATCTGTACTTGAATGGTTAGTATCATGAACACCGCTCCACAAATTTATCCAAAACTAATAAGTTCTATCTGTTCTGAACACAACGCTGTCAATGTCAGAGACCCACCATCAAATAAGTTAATAGCAAGCATGTAAGGAGCCTAGAAAATGATGATGTTAGAATACAGCTTGGTTGTCCAGGTTACAGCTGCTAATCAGTCTCGACTGCACCCCCCTGTGCCACAGTGACACTAATACTCACCACTATCTTGGCGTCCCGTACGGTGTTTTCTGGCACGGTGACCCAATACTCGGGCTGCTCCCAGTGCGGCGGCTGGTTGTGGACGTTTGTTATTATGACAGTTAGCTCCACAGAGCTGCTGCGGTTCCCTCCATCTGACGCCACAATCTGCTGGTTGATCTTGGACGTCTGCAGAGAACGACAAAGATCATCCAACAAACTGAGGAAATGTGTCTTGGTGAGTACCTAATCAGAGCTGCTTGGTTCAGGTTTAAAGGCCACGACTTGTGATTCAGGAGGAAATATTCGTTCAGTTGCCTTTCATGACTTTTAGAAAACTGCAGGAACACATTTAAAGAAAGTTTTAAACCACCAAATACAGATTTTAATGATCATGCATCATTAAAGGCCACTTAAAAGTTGTAAAATAAGTAACTATTAAAGCAGTGAAAAAGAAAATGTCACACTGTTGATTTTGTGTTTTGTTCATCAAAAGTAAATAAAAAAGAGGGACAGGGTGAATCTGCCTTTGCTAAATTATTGATTGAAGTGTTGTTTAAAAGATCAGTGGCAGAGAAGAACAGAGAGGAGATGACAGTCACAGAAGAAGAACAGTTGGCATCATTCATTACAAACGTTTGTTTAACAGCTGACTTCAGTTTCACTTCAATCTGGATTTTCAGTTTGACTTTGTAAGATTGCACAAAGAAGAGACACACAATCGTGAGACTCATCAAACATTTACGACGACAGTCTGTTTGATGCAACTTTTATTCTTCTCACAGTGGAAACAACAGAACAGCTGCTGAAACACAACCCTAGCCCTGTGGCGCCCAGCTGTCATTATCTGAACATCGATTTGCACCTCACATATGAGCAATACAACATCATGTTATTGATCTTAGTGCATGTGGATACCAACTGTATGTATACATACAGTATTTCCTGCACTTGTACTGTGCTTTACTGTGTATGTACATCAGTTGGGTGAAAAATGCATTTAATTGCACTTGTATATTGTTTCAGAGCACTTTATTCAACGTATTGTATATGTGGAGTGCTCTGGCAAATTTCCTTAGGATCTGTCCTATGACATCCAACAACAACAAACAATAATAATTAAGCAAACCTGACATATTTCAGATTTTATTAACTATACTTTATTTCTGTGTTTCAAGCCAAACACCTGCTGAATCAGCTGAATCATGTTCAGAGACTGAATGGTGAAAAAGCCGAGGAAAGGAGGATGTGGAAAGTACTTTGCCAGATTTTCCTGCCAAAAATACGAAGACTGTGAATAAGACGTAGCGAAGGCAGAGCCAAAATTCACGGTGAAAAAAGCCAAATCTAAAGGAAGCAACTCAGTCCAAGCTTAAGCTTCCTGAAAAACTTCTCCAGCCTCTTAAATACAGTTGTTCATCATATCAAATAAATGAATTGTCCTGAAAAAAATCCCGGTTTCATGATATCAAGGTATGTGGTATTACACAATTATTATTATTTAAGTTTGGATATCGAGATCTGGCTCCAAGTTGGAACTGGTACCAAATTTACGAGAACAGTGGATTTGTGCGTTTGGATTCTGCTTCTCGGTTCCTAACTTTCTGCATATTTCAGCTCCTGACCGAACTGCAGGGAGCATTTTACACTCCATCAAAGTAAAACAGCAAAATGCAACAGCTGCAGTAAGGAGGTTTGGTGCGAGGCAGGAAGCAGCTCCAACATGACGAAGCTTTTACTTCAACACGGCATGAATCTGAAGGAACGCTTCACCGTGTTCAACGTGCCGCGCTCTCCCAGCTACAGTGACGCCCCAGATCCAGCTAACGCTAACAGTAGCAACGTCTCAGGTACAAAACACCTTTTATACTGAAGGGAAACCAATGATGGCTACAAAATTAGAGACGAGTTCCCAGAGACGGCCCTCTAGGACAGAGACTCCTTTCACTTTAGCCATGAAGGGAGAGATGAGCGAGGAGGAAGAGGATGAAGGTCACCGACAAACAGAAAGAGAACACCTCATTATAATTTCACAAAATATTATGTCCTGACAAATACTGGAAGTGTGTGTAAAAAGTCTCCAATGAAGGTGAGATTCTCTGTGCAGTTGCATTTGTTTTTTCAATACCATAGAGACACATATGTATTTGGTTAGATAACTGTTCATTTTCATACCATGGTATCCCGGTAAACTGCTGCAACCCCAGTGTATGTACAGGTATAAATGGCTGCTCTGTTGATTATGAGGAATTGACACCACAACCTGATGTTTACCGTTGATTTTTTGGGTCACTGAAACTGTAACAATAAGACGATTGGTAACAATTTTTCCCATCATAAGACCTGACAATCAGCATAATTTGTCTAGCTATATATGTCTCTTTTCTATCTACCCTCTCACCTCTCTGTGTCTCACTTTTGGTTATTAATTTTAAACATACAGACGAGGCGAAGCAGGAGAAAGACTTTAGGGGAAAAAGTTGTGCAACAGGAAACTCTAGCACAAAGCCCAGAGCTACAAGTGTACATACAACCAACAGACAAACAGAACACAAACACTGTTGATGTGAGCAAAAACACACAGAAAGTGGCATGTTTCCTCAGCGGATGCATAGCAAACATGTTAGCTGTTATTAAACAGCACACAGCTCTCCGGCTCCATGTAAATTTATACACAGAGATTTTTATCAAGGGAGCAGCAGAAGAACTGATACAGACATGAATATATTACATGTGGATTTGTGTTTGTGTGTACTTCTGTCTTTGTGAGGACCACATTAGAGTTTTAGACCTTGCGAATGTGGACGTTTTGTAAAATGCAGTCCCGTCCTCGCTTCTTTAAAGGACTGTTTGAGTGTCAGACATTAAAGTGAAGGGTAGGATTAGTGGCCTGCAAATGTCTTCTGTCAAACAGCATCCTACCAAGTATAGTAAGTACAATAATGTTGGGTCTATCTCTGACCTGTGAGATGGGGTGGTTGACGTAAATCCAGCCAGTAGTGGGGTTGATGTGCAGGTACGCTGGCTTCTGATTGGACAGGGAGTAGGTGATGGCCGAGTTGCTCCCCTGGTCGTCATCATGTGCTGCTGCTCGCAGGAAACTAGTTCCTACCGGGGTGTCCTCCCGCAGGAAGTCTGGGAGGGAAAAGAGATGGACTGTCAGACAAGGGACGAAATACTATTGGCACTATGGGTAAATGTAAATGCTCCCTATTTGTATAGCGCCTTTCTAGTCTGTTTGACCACTCAAAGTGCTTCTACACTACATTGCATTCATGCACACATATTCATACACTGGTGGAACAGCCACCAGGGGCAATTCAGGGTTCAGTATCTGTGCCCAAGGACACTTTGACAGGAGGAGCCAGGGATTGAACCATTGATGTTCCACTTAATGGGCAACCCACTCTACCTCGTGAGCCACAGCCGCCCGCACGGGTACTGCAGCTACTGGTTCTAATGGTACTGCCATTATTGGTACTACTCCAATTGCTACTGGTACCATAGGTATTACTGGTACTGCTACTCGTTATAAAAGTACTGCTGCTACTGGTTTGACTACTGCTAGTACTACTTCTACCATTACAGCTACCGCTACAGTACCTTTGCTAGTATTTCCACTACTAATGTAGTGGATGTAGCAGTAACATTAATAGTAGCAACAATTAATACTACAACAAGTACTGTTGCAGCTAATAATGCAAAGACTGTATTAGTGCTCACGCTACTGCAGCCAGTACTACTAGCTAGCTATTGCTAATATGTTGCTACTGCAAACACTAATATTTTTAAAGTTTCTTTTGAAAGTTTATAATTCTGAACTTTAAACCAAACATCCATCACACTCTCACATCCATGGTGTCCACATTCACCAGTTACAACTAAAAACCCCTGTCCTGACTGAAGCTTGTGTCTGAAGCATGAGCACTGAATCTCGTTAAATCTGACTGAACACAATGTAAAATCATGTTCTGTGATGGTAAGCAGATATTATAATAATGAGAACGCAGCGTTGTGTTGTGTCAGCAGTGTGTCACCTCATTTTGTCATTTCTGGGTTTCACTGTGCAAAGTCAACAGATGCATTTCAAAATTTATGAATATAACCTCCAATCCTGCTGACTGTGATGAGTGTCAGCGCTGATCAGACAAACAAAAAACAACGAGCAGGGAAAAGGTCCGCCGCACATTTCCCTCTGCAATACTGCATTTCAAGCATTATGTCAGAGATAATGTCCTTTCGACATTTGTGGGTCCCACTGGATACATTTCAACTGAATAATCACGTCACATCCTGCTGAGTCTAATGTGTGTCACAGAGAAACAACCAAAACAACCAAGAGAAGAGAGAAGAGAAAACACAGGATTGGCCTGCCTCCCATGGTTTACTTCGACACACAAGACAGTTTGGAAGTTGTGTTACACTCAACTTGATTTCTTTAGTTGCAGTATTTATGTCAAGTACTAGCAACATGTTTTAAATGTCTGTCTTGCTAATGAGCTTCTGTTAACCCGACCAAACAACCACCAGAAAAAAATATGGTTCATAATTTCAGACAAAAGCAACAATAGGCAATTTAAAAATGATTCTTAAGCTGTAGCGGGTACAGCCGACTCTCGAAGTTCTAATTAACACCAAGTAGCGTCAATTAGCAATATATTTTTGGTGCTAAAATACATAGTTAATCAAAATGAAACAGGTTGTATTTGTTATTATTTTCATTTCAGTTAAGATTTGGGCCTTGGCGACCATTAACTACATATCATTTTCTAACACACGATGCACAGCAGATAACCTAAGGGAGCAACAGACAGTAAAGTGGATGTGGTCGAGTTAATCTCAGAATCAAATGACATTTGTCACTTCTCTTTTACTCACATTAAGGTGAATTGCATTTGATTTTCTCACCATTCAACCCCTCTCAGCCTCTCAAAGAACTTCTGTCTGAGGTATTGACTGATCACGTGAAAACAGTATCTGTTTTATTATACTACTTTCTTTGTTTTTAATATACTGTTCATGCAACCATCTCACTTTTATATCTTTGTCTCGCCAAATTGCAGTATTAGCACTTCCAACTGCATAGTTATCATATCTTATTTTACCTATAACATTTTGCACAGATATGCTCAGACCATCACTCATCAGTGCCCTCAAGACAGCAGACATTTGATCACATTTGCCCACATGATCACTGTTTCCCAGGTAGTTATTCTATTCCTACTAATTGTAAGGCCATCACATCACATGCATTGCAAATACAATAGCACAGGACATCACACACCCATGCAATCACTGCTTTATTGTACTGCCCTCTGGGTGCAGGTACAGGTGCCTGAGGTGCAGGTGGGTATAACATTTACTCCCCTGTATTATTATTACTCCTTCGAACCTTATTACAATTCCCTAGCGACGTTCCCAACACTGCTTGTGAATCACATGCCGTGCAGCCTACAGGAAATTAAGCCAGTCTAAATCAGATTCATCCCTGGTTTCATTAAACCGCAATAATGGAAGGAAGTTGACAACTGACTGATACATGCTGACATGAACATATATGAATATTATAACAGGTTTAAAATAAAAAATCGTAATTCAGAAAACAGTCAATTCAATCCAGTTTTCCTTGTTCCAAGATCCAAAATATTGATTCTAATGCATGTTGATAAGGACAAAATAAACAACAAGCAGGCTAAACAGAGGTCTGTTTCCAGCTCACTTCCTCCGTTTATGCAGGAAACCAACACACACACACACACACACACACACACACACACACACACACACACACACACACACACACACACACACACCAGTGGCAAATGAATGCATGTCCCAGAAACATTTCAATCTGCCTGTTAAATAGTTAATGAGCCACCCTGTGCGTTTCCCTAATCTGACGAGGAGAACTTCTGACACGACGCTTATCAAAACACATATTTGCACACATAGTAAACAAACACGGCCCCGCGGGAGCTGGCGGCGAATATTTCATCAGTCTTAAGAGCTTTCCAGGATTACAAGGATGCAGATTGATAGACGACGTCAAACCGACAGTTTCCAGATTTCACCTGTTTCCTCCAAACTCTGCTTTACTACTCTGATGTATAGTTACAGTACAGTGTGAGTGCACTGACGTTAGCCTGAGTGACCCCAGAAGCAAAGAAACATTTTAACCTCGAGTGTGTCACTGTCTTGTTTTATACGCTTTCAGATGCACAGGATGGAAATCTGATGAGATGCCGAGCTGAGCAGCATTTCTAAATTGCAGAACAGTACAAGCAGCAGTAATAGTCATGCAGTAATACAGTCGCAAAACAGCGGCAGCAGCAGTGACGGTGTTGTAGAAATAGGAGCAGAGATGTTAATAACAATAGTATAAGCTGCAGTTGAGGAAGCAGCCTTGTAGAAATAGTAGTAACAGTAGCAGCACCAGTGGCAGTAACAGAAGGAGTACTTTTTGCAGTAATAATAATGGCAGTAGTAGTAGAAGTGATGGTAGTAATGGTAGCAGTAGAAGAAGCAGCAGAAGTAGTAATACTACAACTGCTACTACTGTTACTATTGCAGCTGCTACTGCTACCACTACTACTAATATTAATAGTAGTGGTAGCAGCTGTTCCAGTAGTAGCAGTAGGACAACCAGCAGTAATAGTTGGAGCAGCAGACACTCCTACTACTTAGCAGTGCTCATGCTACCAGTAATGGCGGTAAACACAGCAGCGTCTACGTCTCATTTAGAAGGATACTCATAGTGGTAGTTGTAACTTTAGCAGTAAAAGTAACTGTAATAGTATCAGTATTAGTACTATTACCTTTTTTCCCCAGGAGACACTCAAACAGGTAGTAATTGTAGTATTGGGAGTAGTAGTAGCTGTAATAGTAGCAGTAATCAGTAGTAATTATGGCAGTATGAGACATCTGCACTGGTAGTAATATTAGTAGTAATAGTATTAGTAGTAGTTGTAATAGCAGTAGTAATTATGGCAGTTATGAGACACCTGCAATTGTGGTGGTAATAGTAACAGTAGCTGTAGCAGCAATAAGGACAGATGCACTCTAGTAGCGGTAGCAGTAGCAGCAGTAGTGGTAGTAACATACGCGTAGTAGCCATTATACATAATGTCCCCCCCACATTTCAAAATCTATGTTTTGTTCCCCTCACTTTTTCCGGCAATTTCTGAGTTGGCTCATAGCGGAGGCGGTTTGAATGACTAATCAATCAATCACACACCGCATCAGACATGATTAAGCGGTCGAAACACATACAAAAATCATGTTGGCCTGTAGAAAACATGCGACACAAGGCAAAGGTGATGCTGAAAAGTTAAGGGATCAAAAAAAAAGAGTTCGGGTGCAGCAAAGTGCCTCAATAGGCTACGTTTCTTCTTGTGCTGCTGTTACTTATAGCCTACCTGAAGACAGCAGTGAGCACTCCTGCTGCAGAGTGGGTAGTAACTTGTTACAAATAGCGCACATTTGCTAAATAAATACATTAAAAAAAAGTAATTGGCACATTTTCACGTTCCTTTTTTAAAACTGTACTTTTATTCTTTACTCAAGTATTTTCTTTGGGCCAGTAATCTACTCTTAATTTCTCTACATTTTCCATTCATACAATCATAACTTATACACTCTGTTTTCAAAAGCCATTAGAAATGAGCATTTAACCCCCCTAGCATTTCAGCGTCCCCCCAGGTTCAAAGTTGCTCTACGCCCCTGGGGAGTAACAGTTGTAATGTTAGAAGTACTACACACTCACAGTGCAGCTGTCAGTAATCTTTGCAGTACTAAGCAGAAACTCACACTGGTAGCGGCTGTTTTCAAACTTGGGGTCATTGTCGTTCTGGTCGGCGATGAGGACGGTGATCTGACAGATCCCGATGAGCGGCTCCTCAGCCTGATCTGTGGCCGTCACCGACAGCGTGAACTCGCGCTGACGCTCCCGGTCAAAACTCACCGCCGTGGCGATCACACCTGACAAACACAGGGACCACGTTAACAGGTATTAGCCTTCAACATTTGTGTTCATGTTGAGTGGCACTGTGGAACTTACCGGTGTCAGGATTGATGTCAAACCCGGACGACACTCCGTCTCTCTGCATGATGCCATATTTGACTTCTCCGTTGACCCCAATGTCAGCGTCGTGGGCCTGGACGCGCAGGACAAACGTCCCTGGCGGCTGGTTCTCCAGGACCACTGCGTTCAGACTGTAGTTCTGACACTGAGAGCACAAACAGCACAATCAGAACCAAACTGGACAAGAAGAAGACATCATTTCCCATCAGAGTGCAGATATAACAGCTTTACTCACCTCCTGGAAGACCGGTTTGTTGTTGTTGATGTCGTTGATTCCTACGATGACCTGGGCAGAGCTGCTCAGCGGGTAAGGTCCACCAGACGCGTTGTCATCCGTGGCGGTGATGTTGAGAACGTACTGCGGTCCCCTGAGCCTGGGAGGCGGACTCCGCCGCAGCTTGATGATGCCTATACACACAGGGGGTCAGATCATGTTCATCAGACTGCAGTGTTTCCCCAAAGATGTTTTTCAGGGGGTTGGTAGACCCCCCCAAAACTACTAGTGTCCTGGAAAGGGCGTGTTATGGATACATGGTGTTGCCAATGATGTGGCGCACTTGTTTTTGCCTGTTTAGGCCAAGTGGGAAGCTTCCGTTCTGAGACTGGAAGCCATTGCGAAAGTCCTTTAAACCTGTATTCCCTCGAACAACCAGCAGGGGGCGACTCTTCCCGTTGCAAAAATAAATAGGGCTCTATTAGAAATAATGGTAAAATGTTTCTACTTCTCCGCTGATTTATTACCTCAGTAAACACTTTCCTGATGAGTTTATGGTCTCAGTTGTTAGTTTCAAGCTTTCTTCAACACAGCATGATGTTCATTTAGTAAATTATGGTCCCACTTAGAGGAACATAGACCAGAAAACAGAGTATGCGTCAGGGCGGGTTTGGGGTGTGGTGATTGCGCAGTGGATAAGACATTCCTTTGGTGTGAGACTCCCCACTGTGACACCCACCAATGTGTCCCTGAGAAAAACACTTAACTCCTAGTTGCTCCAGAGGCGTTTGACCTCTGACATAAAAAAATAGCAATTGTAAGTCGCTTTGGATGAAAGTGTCAGCCTAAAATGAGTAAAATCTATGATTGACAAGTTGTTTACTGTGTAAATTTAACCAGCGCCATTGAAAAAGCTTGTTAGGAGTCGGCTGTTCACTTTCTCTGGTGAGTACATTTAGTTTTAAGACTGTTGTTCGCTAAACAAAGTTATCAGCCCTGTTAAACAGTTAGCGTGAATTAAATATGCACCTAGCTAAACAAGCTAACAAGCAACCACATGCGGCCGTTAGCTCCACCGTCTCGCCGGTGGAAAAACGTCCTGGGCAAAAACTCAACATGGCGGCGTCCTATTGGCCAAACTCGAGGCTTCAAAACGGCAGTCCACAAACCAACGGGTGACGTGATGTTTTCCATGCTTCACAATTTAAGCATATTCTGTTATCAGAAATAAAAATTTCAACAATTCAATAAGAAAAAAATATTACAAATTGAATCAATATCAATGAATCTGATTTATTATGCAAATATGCATATAGAAATATTGTATGTGCAATTATTTATGGGGAAAATTCTGAATAAATGTAGGATATTAAAATAATACTATTTAAAAGGGGGCAATACATAATGAATAACATGAATGAACACCAATGCAGAGATGACAGAAGCAGCACCGGTAAACACCAAAACAACATTGCGCAACTACAGATGAGGAGATGAGCGAGAAGCGAATTGCCTGTGTGTGGGTGTGTGTGAAAACAGCTTTATTTCACGTGTCCGGTGGAATATATAGCTTAATAATATATTTTTTTCATTCTTTCAGGAGAGGGGTCTTTATGGGAGGGCAGGCTGACAATGAACAGGTCCGACCAGACTGAGTAGAGTGAGGCCTTTAATGCCTTCAGTGGAATTTATTACACTTTCAACTTGCGTCTTTCCTACTTTTTTCCTAACCCAGCAGCTAGTTCTGCTCTAAAACTTTATCCAACATGTTTAGCACATCTGTAAATATAACAATATTCAACAGAAGTCTGGTACAGGTTGTTGGTAAAGTTTATGTCTGAAATACTTAGAACTTAGGTTTAATTATTTTTATGTTTACAGGCACTGAAGAGTTTGCTGCTGCCTGAGGACACTGTTCAGCACAGTTTAAAGTAAACAGACTCCTCTGGAGGAAAGTGAAACTCAGAATATGTTCCAGCTAATAGAAAATAATGAAAGAAAAGGAAAGAAAACACCTGAGAGCTGCTGATTATTCTGAGTCCCTAAAGCCATCATAATAACAAACTATAGAATGAAAAACTATTTTATTCTGATTTTCAATTCAAGAGAAGCTGGATAAGTTTTCAAAACGATTCTCAAACATTATGAAAATTGTACTCACTGACTAATTGTGTCAGTTCTACATGTACCACCGGTGTGTGTGGTTTCAAGCCTCAGAGTCCAAACAGCAGCAGTGTCAGTAAATACAAATAACTTGTTTCAGTCCAAACATAAAACTGCAGATGTAAAGCCATGCTGTGACCCAGCTCCGTGGGTCTTCACTGCATCACCAGCAGCTACCGTCGGCACAAATATCAGCCTGCCAAAAAAATGCCACATTATTCTTAACTCAAACCTTAAAACAAATGTCACATCTTTCTGCTCTACATTAACATAACAGAGCAGCAGAGCAAACAAACAAACAAACAAATAAGCAGCTTTGGTAGCAACATGAATAGAGACACGGAGGCTGGGAGGGAGCGAACACATCTACATGAAAATACTTCACAACGCTTTGAAGTGACAAAGCAGAACAGCCGAGCAAGCCAAAGGCCATCTGCTGTGTGTGTGTGTGTGTGTGTGTGTGTGAAAGAGAGACTTAATATATCATTTATGTGCAAATGTTCATGTTTATATCTGTTTGTGCATGGACGCATGCGTGTGTGTGTTTATGTGTGGCAGAGCAGTGGAGCAGTGCATGCTGGGTGATAAGGTGACAGAGAGGCTTAGAGAGAGAGAGAGAGAGGGAAACACACACACACACACACACACACACACACACACAGATAAACATGCAAAACATGACTGCACATCACACGGCTACACATGAAGTTTATCTTCAGAAACGCTCTGTCTTGCACCTACACATACATGCACCAACACACACAAACCTACCAGAAACACTAAAAAGATGAAAACAGTGTGTGTGTGAGCTGAGGTGTAATGTGTATTCATGTTTTTCTATATTTTTATTTATGCACGTGTGTGTTTGTGTGTGTGTTCAGGGCTCAATGGCCTTGTTAAAGCTACCTAGTTTTATCTCTAAGCACTCCACAGCAACAACCCTTTTACTCTGCGTGTTTGTGTGCTAGGTGGTGTCAGTGTAAGTGATCTGAACGTAGCCGTGCATGTGTGTAACATACTGTCTGCATAATAATTCATTTGTTTTTGTCTTGTATGAGGAAACGATGGTGGCGTTCAGTCCACAGTGAGATATCTGAACTACTGCAATCAAATATTTTTGTTCTTCTTCTTCTGTCTGTCCTCCCAATCCTTTTATGAAGTACATTCAAAAAGCCCCAGGATAAGCACAAACACAAATTTTTAATTTAAAGCTGGGGTAGGCAACATTGGAAAAACCAGCAAGAGACAAGATATTGAAAGTATTAAACTGAAAAGATCCAACTCCCTCTCTTCAGGTCTCCACCACCACTATCCAAAAAACACATTTTCAGTGCCCAGGAATATTGTTTTTTAAAGAGGTGGTATTCTGCTTTTTGGCTTTTTCCCTCTCCTTTATTGAGTTATATCTCTTTTTTGTGCATGTAACAGGTTTGCAAAGTGAAAAAGCCCAAAGTCCAGCCCAAAGGGAGTTCCCATCTCCCACAGAAAACTCTGCCCTGAACTGCCTGAAAACAGCTCATTTGTAGTCCCTGTGACATCACAGGGATGAAAGCTAAATGCGCCTCATATAAAGCTTGCCAGCAGCATCATTAGCCCTGGGCATGTTTTTTGAAAAGCCCCGGATCTCAGAAGGATTTTTAAAAAAACAAACAACAAAAGGCTGAAAATTGAACTTTACTCAACTACCTGTTATTATTTATTCTCCTGCAAATTAGCGGGAGCTGTAGCTCTGTGTCTGTCTCCACTGGAAGCTGTGAGCTGCACTTTATCAGAGGCGCTGAAATTAATGTATGTGGATTTGTGGTGAGGTTAATCACCTGATAGCCATAGGAGGCATTGTGTATATAGTATCTCATTTCAAAATCTATGTTTTGTCCCCCCCTCTTTCCTAACGTAAAGTTTTATTTCACATTGCCTTCCTGGCTCCGGCGATTTCGGAGCTGGCTCATATAGGAGGCGGTTTACTAAGTGACCAGTCAATCACTCACACACTCCACATCAGTCCCAGACAAAATGTGGCCTTTAGAAATGTTGAGGGAGGAAAAAAGAAGTTGCTCGAGTTCGGTGCAGCAAAGTGCCTCAATATTACAGACTTTTCTGACTGACTTTTCTCTTTTCTGTTCCTTCTAGCTGAAGGCAGCAGTGATGATGTCTGCAGCAGGGGTGGGTACATCTAATGTAGGCCTACTCTTAATTTCGCTACATTTTCCATTCATACCTTTTATAACTTAACCAGTCTGTAATCTGCATTTTGCTTCATTAACTGAAATGAGCTCATCCAGGCTGTGTGTGCAGTCACACAGTAAAGCTCTGGTTGGGCGCTTGTCACAGAGCTGAGGGGAAGCAAACATTTAGAAAATCAGGCAAATATCGCTTTATGTTCTACTAATGCAACTGATATCCAGTGAGCCACACCATGGCACTGGTGACCGTGTTAGAAAGCAGCCTGCGTCGCTCTTTAAAAGGCTGGCAAAGTGAAAAACTTTCACTTTCCATTAACATTAAAAGCGTCTTTAGTCTCTGCAGAGCAAATGAAGACTACACACTGTAAGATCTATGTCAGATGATCACTGGTATAGATTGAGATACTGTATATTAAAAGTGTCCTGTTGTTGATCAGAGCATCGCTTTGGACATCAGCCTGTTTCTTCTCTTTAATACACATCGGTTACTATTTGTTTTATAACTATGTCCAACGGTGAGTCCATAAACAGAATGTCGCCGGTGAAACTAATCTTTCACTCAGCAGCTACCAGCTATTATTTATTTTTGAGATGCACAGAGAGAGAGAGAGAGAGAGAGAGAGAGATGGAAAATTGTCCTGTTGGGTTTTACAGACGACACACAGCTTCCTCTGTAGGTTTACCTGCTTCAACAATGAGCTGCTCTTGTGTTACTGCCACAATGATTATCTGCGTTGTGAAGATTATTTAGATGCTCTAGGAATAATTAGATTTTACTGGCAGCCTCTGCTACTGCAAAGCAAGAGGTTTGGTTGGCTACATCTCCATAATAAAAGGCACAGGCAACAAAAGTGATATACATGGAGATTTAAAAAGGAAATAATTGTAGAAATAACTAAATTACAGATAATCAGCTTCTTCACTGCATTTGCAGGAATATTTTAATGGGCTACTTAAAAAAATTAACTCATCAAGTGGCCTAGTCTAATGCAATAGACAGTCCATTTTTACTCTGATAGCCTATCTACACACAGGGGCTGTGATCCTGCACAACAAAACATCCCCACACTACCATGGATAGTAGTGGTGCAACGGGTTGCAGAATCCGTGGTATGGATCCCTTCCACACGGTGCGGCAGAACTATGAACATGAGCAGAAAACCTGCTGAAACACAGGAGCTATTAAAGTCCAGGAGTTTCTGAAATGATTTAATGTATTATTGATGAGGTAAAAAGGTGCCACATGCACATTTAAAGAGGTTACCTCAATCAGTCAGGCCTGCGTGTGTGTTGATTCAGCAGTGATGATATTAAAAGTTGATCTACAGGAGAAACATCTGAAAGCAACCCAGAATGCCTGAGAGCTGCTCTGCATTATATTCTGTCACAGTTTTAGATTTTAAATTGTTTTATTATACCTTTATTAAATCAGAATGTTCTGGCCAAGGCAGGCAGTAGTACAATTAATAAATAATCAGTTACAAGGTCACAAAAATATCAAAATGTTCTTAAATATTTACCACAATTCAGCAACAAGGACGATCAAACGAGTAATCAGTCATAACATCTGAAGGCAGAATTGCCAGAGTCAGTTATTATGTGAAGAAATGAAGTGTTATGGGCTGGGCTAAGCCCCCAATTTTTCAAGATCCTAAAAACGCCCCTGACGCTTGCCAAGCGGCTACTCCGACACGCCCTCTAAAACAGCGGTGGAAAAACACTGATCTACAGCACACAGCTCCCCTCTCCCTTCCAAACACTAGCTACCCTCCAGGCAGTCAGTGGACATAAAGTTGTTACTGTGATGTAGAGACAGAGCTCAGTTAAAACTTTATGGATGAAAGATACTTTTGTTACAGATTAATAACTCACCACTCTGAAACTCTCGCTCCAGTCCATGTTGCCAAGCTGGTCGGCAACATGTAGCCTACAGCTGAATCGAAGCTGTTTACCGTCTTTTCGCTGACCCGTCCTTCTCTGCTTATGATTGGCTAGTAGTCCTTAACTAGGAACTTCGCATGTGCAGCTCCCAACAAAGATCATTTAGAGACAAGATGCATTACTCCATAGCTAAAACGAAGCGTTCAACACAGGGTGAAAAGAGGAGCTGCAGCAATGTGCAGTATGAGAAAAATATGGTGTTTTTTGAATATTAAACCATTTAAACCTGTTCTGGTACAACCACTAAATAAGATTATGAACCTGAAAATGAGCATAATACCACCTCCTTTAATTTATTTTTGTGTCACAGCATTTAACTTGTTGATTGTTGTGGGGATGTAAAAAGAATTTTAAAAAATGCTTCTGATGCTAATTGCCTACCCCAGCTTTAAAACATTTTCAACTCATGTGGCTGCATCTTTGCCTCAACACAAGTTGCTTAGAGTGACTAATTTACACCCATGTGTGTCTTTGCATACAGAACAAACAACGTATGATTATTAGACTTTAGACTTTCTATGCAATTGTGTGTGAAATTAGTTTTGTGATCTGTCCGAATACACCGTCAGAGTAGCTAAATCGTCAGTGTGTTGTTATCATTGCAATCTCTTGAGGGTGTTAGCAGCAGTTTTAGGACAGCAAGTAAGTAGTTATGGTGCCTAAACCTAACCAAACTGCAACGTTTCAGGACTTTAACATGTAGTTTTATTTTGAAAGTTTAACAGGACGCTGCGTATTTGTTCTTGCTTATTGGACCACGGAGCCCTACAAAAACTACATTAAAGGGTACCCTACAGCGTACCCTACACTGTAGCCTAGCCTGACGTGCACCACCTCAAAAATGTAACTACATGTCGGGGTGAGGCGGACTGTAAGAACTTTTTTTGTTTGGCTGGGTAGCCTCGCAATGCCTCAGAGTCGACAGGAAGTGCTACGTGCTAGCCTTTGGCGGTGTAATTGCATAACAACACAGACACCAACGCACAAGTATAAATGCATGGCTTTGTGCGTAGCTTACGCCGTAGACTTAACGCAGAAGTATAAATCATGCTTAAGCCACCGCTTGCTGCAAAAAAGTCCAGTGTGAAGGGAATTGTGTTTATATTAAAGACTGTGTAAAAGAAGTATAGTTTTATATAAAACACCGGACATGGCGATGCTGAGGCGGATAATAAAACACATGCCTTTGGTGTGGGAGATTTGGATTCGGTTCCCACTGTGACCCATCCACCATTGTGTCTCTGAGCAAGACACTTAACCCCTAGTTGCGACCTCTGACATATATGTTGTATATTGTTAGTCGCTTTGGATAAAAGTGTCAGCTAAATTACTAATTATTATTTAGTACAACTGTCTTATGTGTATGCATTGCATCTCCCTCACCCTTCTGGTTGTCCAGCAGGAAGTTGCTGTCCTCATTGCCGCCAGTGATAGCGTAAGAGACGGCATCTCCGTCCGGATCGTTGGCGTGAACGATGGCGACCAGCGTGTCTGGACCAGCATCCTCACTTAGGAAGGTCTTATAACTGACAGAGAGAGAATGGGCAGGTGTTAATCCAAGAAAACAGGACAAGGGGAGAAAGTAAAATAGAGAAGAGAACAGAAGTTGAGAAGTGAAAGAGCAGGTATGACGAAAAAGAGTAAAATTTGCAGAAGAAAATGACAAAAAAAGAAAGAGACAGACAGAGAAGAAATACATAAAATAAAGCACAAGCGAAGTAAGAGGGTGTGAAGGAGACAGACAGAGGAGCGAGAGGAGAGGTGGAGACGATGTGAAGCAGATGGAGAAGAAACGGTGGGAACAAAAATAGATGTGAATTAAAAACAACTTAATTAGCAGACTGACTCTGTGGGCGAGAGACAGCGACAGAAGTGAGACAGAGGGAGAGAGAGATGGCTGATGTTTGCTGTTAAACAAAGTTAAAATTGAAGAAAAGTTAAAAAGATAGAAAAATAACAATGATCCTACGTGTTCTGGGAGAAGACGGGCGCCTCGTCGTTGCTATTGGCGACTCGAATGCGGACAGAGGCGGTGCCCGTGCGGGGGGGAGTCCCTGCATCCACGGCGACCACCACAAACTCATAGATGTGATTGGGTCGCTCATAGTCAAGGCGACGGGCGGGGCTTACCACACCCCCTGATGTGATGTCAAAGTCGCCACCGTGAACGAAGTAAGACAGCTCTGAGTTCACACCGGAGTCACAATCCCGGGCCAGAACTGAGGAGGAGAAGAAAAAATAAGACATGGTGGGAGGAGGAAGAGGAGAACAGGGCGAGGAGGAAAGACAAGAAACAGGAGAGGAGGAAGAGGAAGAGGAGAAAGGGAGAACAAAAGACAAGAAATGGTGAGAGGAGGAGAGGAAAAGGAGACAGAGGAGAACAGATAAGAGAGAGATAGGGGAGGAAAAAGTGAAGTGAAGAGAAGAAGTGAGGGAAAAGTGGAGCGGGAGCAAGAAGAGAAGGAGAGACGAAGAGAAGAGAGATAAGGATCGGGGGAGGAAAGGAGGAGGAGGAGGAGGAGAGAAACAGCAAAAGAGAAGGGAAGGAATATAGAGGAGGAGAGGGGAACAAAAAGAGGGGGATGGGTGAAAGAGAAGAGGGATTTTAGTAATACATTACTCTGTACACTGTTGAATGTATGTATGAGTGTGTGTGTGTGTGTGTGTGTGTGTGTGTCGCTGGCTGTCTGCCTAATAAGAGCAAAGTCGGACTGTTTGATCTCAACCAGTCACCCAGCAGCTATGACAGATGGCCGTAACAAACACACACACACACACACACACACACACACACACACACACACACACACACACACACACACACACACACAGGTGTAATGTGCTGGTGTTGTGTTCACTGACAGAGGCCAAACAGTTTACAAGAAGCAGAAGAAGTGTGTGTGTGTGTGTGTGTGTGTGTGTGTGTGTGTGTGTTACCTTGCAGCAGGGAGGTTCCAGGTGCGATGCTCTCAGGTACGTTGTCTCTGGTGTAGATGGAGTGGAGGAACTCGGGTGTGCAATCGTTCTCGTCTGTTATTTGGACGACAACCTGCAGGATGCGTCTCACTGTTATTATATACAATATTTATTTCCCTGTGTTCATTTAACTCTTAATAATCTGATGATCAGTGTGACCCAGCAGGTGTGAACAGGTGAGTAATTTCATGAAAATCATCTCGACATCTCAGCTAAAGCCTTTGCTAAATTTAGGTTGTGAAGGTTTTCTAATTTACATAATGTTGTTTTTTGTTGACCACTCCTAACTACAGAGAATCAGAAGCCAAGTAGTTTTTAACCGTACGAGGAATTTTCTTTGGTGGTAAGATACTTTTTTAATCCCCAAGGGGAAACTCAATGTTTTCATTCTATTATTATCACGTTAGTATTTTACACACAGGTCCGAAAGACACACACACGCACACACACGCAGGTCCCATAGCAACACACAGAGAGATGTCAGAGTGAAGGGGCTGCCACTCAGTGCGACACCCCGAGCAGTTGGGGGTTTAGGGGCTTGCTCAAGATTTGAGCCGGCAACCGTCCGGTTCCCGGCCTAATCCTTATGGACTGAGCTACTGCCGCCCCAAGGCAAGGGGCTAAACATACAGTTGACAGAAATGAACGTAGAAATATATAAATAGAAAATATAACAGATGCAAGTTATATAAGAATGATAAAAGAATAGAGAAAAATAATACAACTATTTGCAGAGAAAGAACGATATGGCAGATATTTGCATGTGCATTATTCCGGGTTTGTGTTGTGCAGACGTATTGCAACGGAAGAGGATATTGTGTACATAAATATATAAAGTGACAAAATATAAATATAGAATAACAACAATTAACAATTAACAACAAATATGTGCAATAAATAGGCTATACACTGAAAGTACTAGTTTAAACTTGCTGGTATTGAAGTTCTCAGCCTGATGGTCAGGTAGTACGAAACCTGCTTACAATGCACCGAGCTTGCAGCAGGACCTTTTCTGAAACAGGACTTTCAAAGTTGCTAAAGAGCTAAAGTTTTCTCCAGACCTCCATTGCTCCGGAGGTTATGTGAGAAAGGGAAGTTCAAATCACCTCCACACACCTGGACAATCAAAGTGTTGGATTAACTGACTGAAACACCAGATTCTGCCTTCTGGTTTACACAATCTGACAAGCACTTCCTTCTACCCAGCATTTCACGATAAAACCCCCCACCTTGTGCACCAGCGACCTCAAGCATCATTACCGTGCGACTGAATTGCATCGCTCCTCTTGTTATAAACACCCGTCTTCATGACTTTAGTTAAAGATTCTGTATATATGAGATTCTGAACATTAATGTAGCAGCAAACAATTATTTGCTATGTAAAGATATCTTACTGTTGAACAAAAAGGTCTCTCTCTGTAGAAATCGTTCAAGTTGGACATCAAAGCCCCAAAACTTATTACAGACTGATAATTACCCAGCAATCACTGCTCTTTGGCCCTGAAAAGTTGAGTCAGAATCAGCAGGTTTGCAAGTTATGGTGTTGTATTAGTTGGAAAGACTTCACCTTAGTGACACAACGTTCCTGTTTTCCAAAATAACTCATGCAAACATAATGAAGACAAATGTCTCCTGCTCGAGGAGAGAAACCCATTTCCTCCTTGTTTCTTTCTCTCCTTTAAACCTCCTCCACTAAACCCTGAGCTTCTGCATCTTCGCCTTTCCCCCGCTCCTGTCCACTTCACCCACTATCCCGAGCCACTGGAGCTCAAACCAAAACGCTATTTTCCATTCCCATAAAGCCTGATTTAACCGGTGAAGCTGCCGACCCGACCGCCTGAGCACAGATTTCCTATGCAGCCCTGAACCTTCGACACACCACCTGTTGAGTAATAACAGCAGGGCAGCAGAGGGGATTGCTGAGGAGATTTCAATGCGTGGCTGCGTCTGCAAACATGGACTGAATATTTAAAGGTTTCAGCTTAAAACTGTTTATTATTTTCTCTTTAGACCCAGCATGTTCCCTACCAAATGTGTGTATCTATTTACCCAATTTGAAAGATGTACAAGAAAAAAAGGCAGAGAAAAGTACAAACTCTCCTTTATTTCAACCACATCCAAGATTCATACACTGACGCTGGAAATATTAGATCATCAAAATCCTCCTCTCTTTAATAATGTTTACTCATATTATACAATATTGTATATGTGTAGCTAACAAGAAGCACAACAATTTCCCCTTCCCCTATCTCCATGTGACCGTCACTGCATCCTGGGCTTATATATCTTATACATCTATACATTATTTTGTAGGCAGCAACGTAGGATTCATAACACAGATTAATCTTTATGAAAAGCTTTTTTGATTCTTTTGATCGGTGGACCCTTACAGACTAAAGGAATATAAATAATCAAGGACCGGACACATTCAGACTTAATGAGTGCTTCAAAGGTAACAGCAGTCAGCACCTTTTTTTTTGTCATCTCTTGTACCATGCCGGTGTTGGTACCAGATGTGCTCGGGTGGTCTTTATTTATCTGTAAATATTTTTGCTTTTTATTTTTACATTTTCTTTGGCAATATGGCAACAATGTTTACACAGACATTAGCTTAACTTGATCGGCAGCTAACATTAGCATCGTAACATTAATTCGCCAAAAACTATCCGTAAACACAACGACATAAAGCCAATCACTATCTGCCACGTCATTATACAAACGTACAGCCAATCATGTAATGTGACGTTGACGGCAGGTGAAGGCCCCCGAGCAGATCTGGTATCTACACCAGTTACACTGATAAATCTATAAGATGTACACTTTTGGGCTTGTTGTTTCCGTTGAATGAACTGAATGACTTGAATTGTGGAACGATGTGCAGCATGTCCATAATGACATGTTGATCAAACGTTTAAACATTAATATTTATATTAACGATCTAAGCAGCTTAGAAGCAGCTAAAGCAGGCGACCCGCGGGGTTGAAGAGGTTTTAAACATCCAGAGAACTTCTATAAAAACCTGACCAGGTGTTTAATTAAGGCAGGCGTTTATTTGACAAAATGTGTTCCCACACCAGGCCAGTAAAGGAGGTAGGCGGCTATTTGGGACTCGGCTATTAATTGAAGTTTTACGGTATGTAATAAGAGACAACAATAAAACAAAACAATGTAAAGAATGTAAAAATTTAAGCAGCGACATAAAACAATAAAAATATTAAGAACTAAGCATCAACATCTTTACATCGTAAAATAGTCAATAAAACAACAGCAGTAACGGACCTTAAAACACACTCGTTTGCGTAATTTAGACAGCACAAGATAAGACAAAGGCCAGCTTAAATAAAAGAGTCTTTTTTTTAAAGGCATCGGCAGAGGATAAAAAACTTTAAGTCTAAGTGAAGAGTGTTCAACAGCGTCGGAGCCACCAATCACCTTTTGGTTTCAGTCGAGCAGGTGGAATAGCTGGTAAGCTGGAACTAGGTGGCTTAGTGATGATGCATGAGTGGAGCAGGAAATGTACCCAGGTGCCTGAACATGCAGGGCTCTGTAAGCAGTTTACAACTCATCTGGGATGTTGTATTACAGGCTGACCTCAAAAACTCAGAAGCCAAATTGTTGCTGTGACTGACATCTGGATGAGTCTACGTGTGAAACTCACTAAAGTGTGTTGATTTTTTTCCTGAAAAGAAAGACATACTAGAATATTAGGAGGTAAATGATATGATGAAAAATGGCATTGCAGAGTCTTCTTCCTCCTCCTTCCTTCCATATTTGCTTGTAAAAAAGCTGGACACTACTTTAGACCTGGTGATTTTTATACTGTTCAGCTGCTGCTGCTGCTTTCACCAAACCTGCGCCATCTGCTCGCTTACCGGTATTCAACTGTCTGCCAGTCCGATTTTGTAATTGTGCTGCAGTGTAAGCAATCATTTAGTAATCTGTCAAACTGACGAATTTGAAATTACCGTAAAACTTCAATTAAAAGTCTAGTCCAAATTAGACGCCTGTCCCTTCTACTGGCCCGGTGTGGCTACACGTTTTGACAAATAAAGACAGGTCTCAGTTAGACGCCTGGTCTGTTCTTTGGATGTATAAAACTTCTGAAAGCCCACCAGGTAGTCCTGAGTTGCTTAGATCACACACAACACATATGTTAAAACTTTTATAAATATGGACATGGTAAGATCGGTTATATTCTCCACAACTCGATGGGCCAGTTAATTTTACAGAAACAATTCAAACAAAAGAGAGACCTTATTGTTATACAAGTTATTTATTGAAGTTTTAAAGGTGCAAATGCTACTCCTGGCTGTCACTAGAAGTTTTTATTTTTAAATCTCTATGCTGTGCGTTAAAGTGACTAATACGCTGCTCGAGAAGTGTCAGAAGAAGACCGTTCGAGAGAAGCTCTATATGTGCAGATAGTTTTAAAATGTCTGTAAAAGCTAAAGGCAACAGAAACTGCAGATGCTACAGTGAGATGTAATGTTAGCGCTGCTCAGGAGGCTGCTTTCTACACAGCTGGCTAACACACACATGTAAACGTGCACGTACACGGAGGGCCTTTAGATGGAATTAGCCAGCCAAGCTTACAGAGCAGCAGAGGACTTTAGGGGACGCTGGTAGTATAGCAGCTATTTTCTGTCTGTCCCAACCATCTGGACACCGAGAGCAGGTAATAATGGAAATCTCTTAAGTGTATATGCACGTGTGAGTGTGTGTTAATGTGAACAGATGTAGCTATCCGCTTTGTAAAGTCTTACGAGCTCGCTGTGAGAGCAGGAGTCAGGACTTGAGAGCTGCCAGGTTTCTGCAATTAGCAATATGTTTAATGTGTGTGTGTGTGTGTGTGTGTGTGTGTGTTAATCCATAACACGGCAAACTCTGTAACAAACTCAACCGAGCTCAAACTGCTGATCACAAACTGATCATTTAGGGGTTTTTTTTCGAACGCAGCTTTGATCTGCTGAGTTTTCACAGAGTTTTCATCATGAGAACTTCACAGGACGCTGGCTGAAATGAGGCAAACAGCGCTGCATGTTTAGTTCTACGCATGCATAATGAACACATACGCAGAATAAACAGTAAATGAAACAGTAAATGAAACAGTAAATGAAACAGTTGCATCACAGCGTCTGATTCGGCAGCAGCACTTTCTCTCATCTGAAATTAATGAGTTTTCATCAGAGCCCGGCAGTCGAGGGAGGGGGGGTCGTTTGAGTGTGTGATAAGTCGTACTTCTGTTAATGTGGATTTATTCTGTTTATCAGGGGAAGAGGGGCTTTGATGCCACCTAGGACCTTCCTGTCCCAGGTGGTTTGAAACCTCTGATGCCATGTCATGTCATACAACCTTAACGGCTCAAGTGTGGCACCAATGTGACGCTTTAAATGCCTGCGGCTTCCCACCATTGAACTGAAGTGATTCATTCATCCCAAACAGTGACAGTAATATTATATTTATATTCCCTGCTGTGGTGTGATAAATATTTCATTTAACCTTTTATGACCAGGTTTGTCCCATTGAGATTATGTAAATGCTCTGTATTTGTATAGCGCCTTGCTATTCTCCGACCACTCAAAGGGCGGTTACACTAAATTGTATTCACCTATTCACACACATTTATACACTGAGTGCAGAACTAATATTCATACACCAATGGATGACAATTCGGGGTTCAGTGTTTTGCCCAAGGACACGGAGCCTGGGATTGAACCGCCAAGATTCCAATTAGTGGGCAACCCGTTTTACCTCCTGAGCCACAGCCGCCTCTTTTATTATTATTGGCCAGGGACCGAGCCAATAGCAGCAACACAAAGTTTCAACAATAAAGTACCATTAAAGCCTTATCAAATGTGTAAAGTCTGGTACAGATTTGAGCATGTAGAGTGAAGTTACAACAACATCCTGTTTCATGGCGAAGCCACGCACATGCTGAAAACTCAAGCTGAATGGCTGACTTCCTGTTGGGTTTAGGGAATGGCTCCAAGAGGCTTTATAGTAGGTGTGGACATGTCACAGGAATTTAGTACATTTGGGTAAAATGTGGCTTGGGAGGGGTTCAAACTCCAGTTTCCCCCGGCCTTTCTGTGTGGAGTTTGCATGTTCTCCCCACATCTGCGTGGGTTCTCTCCGGCTGCTCCAGCTTCCTCCCACTGTCCAAAGACATGCAGGCTAGGTTGATTAGTGACCCTAAATTGTTCTTAGGTGTGTGTGTGCGAGCATGAGTGGTTGTTTGTCTATGTGTGGCCCTGCGATGGACTGGCGACCTGTCCAGGGTGTACCCCGCCTTTCGCCCGATGTCAGCTGGGATTGGCTCCAGCCCTCCGCGACCCTGTACGCAGGATAAGCGGTTGACAATGGATGGATGGATGGTGGCTTGGGAGCTGCTCTTTAGGGGGCGCTATAAAGCCATTTTGTCACGACCATGTGCAATACCCATAAAATACTACATTTTTCGCCCCGTTTGACGTGTGTGCAAAGTTTCATGAGGTTTTGAGCATGTTTAAGACATCAAAAATGCGATTCTTTTGCAGAAAAAACAATGTTTCTCGTGCACGGGCCCTAATAAAATCACATACATGTAGAATTGGGTAACATGTGATCAGATAAAACATTTGCACACAGAAAACCTGCACTCAGTAGATTTCACCATAGTTTTAAAACTGTTCAGGGTCCCTATGTTTTGAAGTTTAAGATCAGTTTGTAGATTGTTCAGAGCAGCAGGTACAGAAAACCAAAAAGCTTTAGAAATAATAAATTTCAAAATGCTCTGAGAACAGAGATTATATTTTCCATATCTAAAGTTTAGAAGAGAAGATAAATAAGGAGGAATAGTCCCAAAAACGGCTGAAGCAGCGTGTATAGAAAGCAGACCAATTTGAATTTAATACACACAGCTAAACCTGGTTACGTTTATTTGCAAGCAAGTATTAGTTTGTGTGAACGTACCTCTGCCACGCCGCTGAGGCCTGTGTCGGGTTCGGAGGCGCGGACCTGCAGGCTGTGGAGGTTATGTCCACTCTCATAGTCCACAGTCCTGGTGAGGCTGAGCCCTCCACTCTCCTGGTTGATGCTGAACAGATTCCCAGGATTCACCAGGAGCATGTAGGACAGACTCTTCTTCTGGAAGGAGACGGCCTGAACCACTGCGACGCTGCAGAGACACAAAGAGAGAGGCCGGAGTGAAGAGGGACAGCAGCAACACTAGCAACACTGAATTTTGAATCCTCAAAAATGATGCTACTAGTCATATTAGTCAAATGAAAATTCAGTTTCATCCCTCTGCGTCCAATACACACAGGTCTGGGACAGCCTAGCTTAGCATAAATACTACAGACAGGTTTCTTGTATCCAAACACTACTGGATATGCGTGCATTCAGTGGGCAAAACCACTTCGGTAGCCAGTCAGATGACTGTAGTCAACTATTGCAATCGATTTAGATTTTGCTTTGTTTGTACACTCTTGTTGACTCAATAATAAACTGCCGTTTCAGAGTTGGATCTTTTTGTTTGTGTTTCATTTGCATATTAACATAACATGTGCGACTGCGTGGCAGGTCAGCAGGACCTGTTGTTCAAGTCAGCTGCTAGTCAAAAAGCTAAAGGAAGAAAGGAGAACGAGGGAGAGAGGCGTGCTTTCCACAGCTGTAAGTAACCTACAGCCATTAGGCCGGGCTGTGTCACACTCAGAGATGCAAAGAAGTCACTTTAGTTGCTTTTGTTTTATTTCAGCCAGTGGTGTTAATAAATATTATGTACTGTAAAAAACATTCTCCTTGATGCTGTTATGAAGAGTTAAAAAGTCGGGAGAGACTTAATTTATCTTTTATTATTTTTAATAATATTAAACCGCACACAGTCTGAGTATCCTCTGGTCTGAGAGGCTGCAGTGTTTTCAGTTCAGCTGGTTGTTGACTCCTCAGGTTAATAATTGTTCCAGGAAAGTGGATTCATTTCTAAAATGAGCTGCTGAACAGGTTTTTCGTCACTTTTAAGGATGGGTTGCGGGTGGTGTAGGGAGTAAGGGGTGTGACAATAAATCAATATGGCAATATATGATGTACATTTTTCCATGATACTGTAGCGATATTCCAGCCCATCATATCGATACATAATATTAATAAATATAAATGTAAAATGGGAATCTCCATTAACGTGCTAACGGACATTAGCATCGCGATCGCGAAAATACAATAAAATAAAGTAAATGCTCCGTATTTGTATAGCGCCTTTCTAGTCTTTTCGACGACTCAAAGCGCTTTTACACTACATCTGCATTCACCATTCACACACATTCATATGCTGAGCCTAAGTGCTCAAACTGAAACTAACATTCACACACATTCATACACTGAGCCTAAGTGCTCAATCTGAAACTAACATTCACACACATTTATACACTGAGCCTAAGTGGTTTAACAGAAACTAACATTCACACACATTCATACACTGAGCCTAAGTGCTTTAACAGAAACTAACATTCACAGCCACCAGGGGCAATTCAGGGTTCAGTATCTTGCCCAAGGATTGTTTTGGATTGCCTTGTGTTCTGGACTACCTTTGTTGGACTTTGCCTCGAGCTCCTTGTAAGCCTGTTTAAGTTAGTTTTTTGAGTTAATAAACATTTTTTGGTCTGCAACCACCTCGCCTTGCCATTGTCTGTATTTGGGTCCTCGCCCCAGTCTGCACTCAGCGCCCCAACCCATGACAGTAGGACGTGACCAGAAATGGACCCAGCAGACTACTCGGATGAACTTTGCGAGCTAGTATGCGACTTAATCGAGTTAAAAGTTTTGTGGAAGGAAGCCCTTGATGATCTGGAACGGGAGGCTTTTGGGTCTCTGGCTCATGGAAGAGTTGCTGCCAAGCCGTGGTTGAGGGACTCATTACCACACCATGGGCTCATCGCTTCCTCCGCAACTCTGCTCCTCGGCTCAGCAGCAGCATTCAGCTGTCTAGCCTGTTGCTTTCACCAGCTCCTGTGTGTTCTCCTGATCCAGTGGTCCGATCGACTCCTGGTTCCTCGTCGGTGGCCCGACCAACACCAGCTCCGTTGGTGGCCCAGTCGACTCTTCCTGTTCCTCGTGCTCCGTCGGTGGACCGACCGGCACCAGCTCGTCCGGTGGTCCGATCGACTCCTGGTTCCTCGTCGGTGGCCCGACCAACACCAGCTCCGTTGGTGGCCCAGTCGACTCTTCCTGTTCCTCGTGCTCCGTCGGTGGACCGACCGGCACCAGCTCGTCCGGTGGTCCGATCGACTCCTGGTCCCTCGTCGGTGGCCCGACCAACACCAGCTCCGTTGGTGGCCCATCCGCCTCTTCCTGTTTCTCGTGCTCCGTCGGTAGACCGACCGGCACCAGCTCCGCCAGTGGTCAGACCGACTCCAGCTCCTCGTGTCCGGTCCGTGGTCCCCAGCCCAGCTGTCCAGTCGGTGGTCAGACCGACTCCAGCTCCTCGTGTCCGGTCCGTGGTCCCCAGCTCACGTGTTCTGTTGGCGGATGGACCGGCTTCAGCCCCGCCAGTGGTCCGGCCGACCCCTGCTCCCCGTGTTCTGTTGGCGGATGGACCGGCTTCAGCCCCGCCGGTGGTCCGGCCAACCGCTGCTCCCCGTGTTCTGTTGGCGGATCGACCGGCTTCAGCCCCGCTGGTGGTCTGGCCGACCCCTGCTTATCGTGTTCTGTTGGCGGATCAACCGGCTTCAGTCCCGCCGGTGGTCCGGCCGACCCCTGTTCCTCGCACCAAGGCCCTCAGCCCAGCAGCCTCATCCCTGAATCCCCCCACTGCTGTTGCACTGACAGCCCCTAGCCCAGCTCCCCAGCCTCTGGAGAGGTCGTCTCACCCCCTAGTCCGTCCCTCGGGCCGCCCGCCGGACCTCCCTGGCTCCCCTGCTCTGTCCTCGGGCCGCCCGCCCGAACTCTGTTGCCTCCTTGCTCTGCCTTCAGGCCGCCCGCCTGAGGTTTCCCCGTCTGGCCCCCCCGGACCAGTTCTCAGGCCGCCCGCCTGAGGTTTCCCCGTCTGGCCCCCCGGCCCAGTTCTCAGGCCGCCCACCTGAGGTTTCCCCGTCTGGCCCCCCCGGACCAGTTCTCAGGCCGCCCGCCTGAGGTTTCCCCGTCTGGCCCCCCGGCCCAGTTCTCAGGCCGCCCGCCTGAGGTTCCCCCGTCTGGTCCCCGGCCTGTTGGGTCGTCCTCCAGGTCGGCCTCCTGAACTCCGCCCTCCGGGACGACCTCCTGAACTCTATTCTCCCCCTGATTTGCCCGGCCTCATGGGTCACCCTCTGGGACGACCCCCTGAATTCTGTTGCCCACCTGGTCCGTTGGGTTATCCTCCAGGACGACCCCCCGAACTGTCCCCTAATCCTGGCCACCTCGGTCGGCCTCCTGAACTGCCTTGCCTCACCTGAATTTGGGCCCCTGAGACTCCTCCTCCTCCTGTCCTCCCTCCGCCCTCCCTGGCTTGGGTTTTGTTGGTTTTTTTGGGGGGGGATTTCTTGTGTTAAGAACGTCAGGGGACGTTCTTTGAGAGGGGGGTACTGTTATGATTCCGTCTGTGTGTCTTGTTTGGGAGTCTGAGTTTAGTTCCATGTCCTTAGTTCATGTTTTGGTAATGATTCCTGGTCCTTGTTTGTATTTTTGTGATTTGGTCTCCTCTGTACTCTGTGTTCTAGTTCTGTGTTCTCATTTAGGTTCTGGTTCTTTGTAACTTGTGTGTTTCTGTCTTCGTGGTTATTCACTCTCCCCCATGTCTGCTTGTCTAGTGTTCTCTCTGTTTCCCCCTGCTGTCTCTCTGCCTGCCTGCTTGTCTCTCTGTCTCTACCTCGTTAGCCCTGATCCCGCTCACCTGTGTTGCTCCCGCCCCGCTCGTTAGTCCCTGTGTATATGTATGCCTGCTTGTCTCTCCAGTCTTTGTCACGTCCTTGCGTCTAAAGTTGAGTGTTCCTGCCTGTTCCTTGTCTTCCTAGTTCTGGATTATTCCCTGTGTTTTGGATTGCCTTGTGTTCTGGACTACCTTTGTTGGACTTTGCCTCGAGCTTCTTGTAAGCCTGTTTAAGTTAGTTTTTTGAGTTAATAAACATTTTTGGTCTGCAACCTCCTCGCCTTGCCATTGTCTGCATTTGGGTCCTCGCCCCAGTCTGCACTCAGCGCCCCAACCCATGACAGGACACTTCAACATGCAGCCTGGAGGATTGAACCAATACATAAAGTAATATTATTACTTTTTAAAGGAGTAATAAGTAACTTGCCCAACACTGCTACGAGACACTGATATGCCACAAAGACAGAGTGCTGCTTTCTGCCCCCTAGCTGCAAGCGTATCTCTATAAAGACGTTGCACAGAAACGCGTCTATATGCACCCACTTGTAACTACGATCAGTAAATTATCAAAGACCAGGTGGAGATAAAGGACCGACAACAGGCATTGACTGGTCTCGTCGTATGATCTTTCACATCTTCCCAAAAACTTCACAGCTCATTTTCAAGTACATATAATCATAAAATCAACCACATGTTCTAAACTGAGACGATTATTGCTGTGCCTTAAAACAATCTCTACACTAAATTTGGTGAGACGATAGAAATGCTGACATTTGGGCGTTGGCTTTCCTACAACATCGCTGCTGGTTGATGTGAAATGTGTGCTGGGATAATTGTTTACCCTGAAGTTCAAACACACAAATGAGTTGGGAAAAGCATCTTCAATAAATGGTGCTTCTAGTCATTTGGTCCAGTCTTGGATAAATGTCAGCTTTGAATTTAGAGCTGCAACGATTAGTCAAAATTAATTAATCGGCAACTATTTTGATATTCGATTCATCGTTTTGAGTTATTTTTTAAGGAGAAAATGCAAAATTCTCTGATTCCAACTTCTTAAATGTGAATATATTTTATTCAATCCTCTGTGACAGTAAGTGAATATCTTTGGGTTGTGGACAAAAAAAATAAGATATATGAGGACAACATCTTGGGCTTCTAAATGTTTTCTGACATTTTATGGACCAAACAGCTAATCAATTAATCGACAATGACAATAATCGTTAGTTGCAGCCCTATTTGAATTTGAACGATGCTTGAGCCGTGACCGGAGTCCACGAGAGGACGAGTACAGACAAGAACCGAGAAAGGCCTATCATTGTAAACATGACCGCAGGTCGGCAGAAAGCTGCTCCACATCTGTTTCCAAACAGACTTATAGAGCGAAGAGGAGCTGTGACGTGCTGGTCGAGCTCCAACGCTACGTCTAAAGTCTGCAGCCTTCATGGATTATTCTGCACTCAGAGACCAACACAACCTGGTTAATCAATTTAAACTAAAAACACACAAACACACACACAGGGAGACACACTTCAGGACATAAACACACATTAAGGGGGACATAATGGAAGCAGAGACACACAAACACCCACACACACACGCTCACAGGGTGGCATGGATACTTGGTTATTAATACAATGTGCTTTGCACCAGGAGCCCTGAAGGATTCACATACGCACACACACACACACACACTCGCACACACACACACACACGCACACACACACACGCGCACACACACACACACACACACACACACACACACACACACACACACTCTCCTTCATGTTTATCCAGACCTCGCTTTTAATAAATATTTGAATTTGCCACACTTTCAAATTCTCAGCCTCAGGCCACACTCATACATCTGGGTCCTCTTCATCCCCCTGTCCTTCTTCACATCCACTCATCCCTCCATCCCTTTTTCCTCTCCTCCCTCCTCCCTCCCACCCCTTCGTCTATCCTTCTCCCACTGTCTCCATGTCCCTATACCTCTCCCTCCTTCCTCCTCCTCCTTCATCATCTTCTTCTTCTTTTGTCTTGCTCTACAGGGCTCATCTTTTCATGCATCACATGACATGCAAAGCCAAGCCAAGCAGCTAGCCGTGGAAACACACACACACACACAGATGCCATTTCCACACTCAGTATCTGAGGCAGTGGAATGTAAATGATGTTTCTGTAAATATGGAGAAGGACAAAGACACAAACAGACGCCTAGTATAATGAAAAACACTATTACCACGATATTAATCTATAGATAACACTACTACAGTAGAAGTAGTGTTATCTATTGTAATTGTACACAAAATATGCACATTAAAATAAACATCAACAGTATGCAGAAAACCCACAATATGACTAATAGTCTGTAAAACTGCTTTACTCACACTACATATATTTTGTTCTACTGTATACTATAAATACTACACACAATAATACATCACAGCTAATACTCCCAAAAGCGGAGTAACACAAAATGAAATCATATTATAGTTATATTTTGTGTTTTCCGATAAAAATCATGTTTCTCCAAAAGAGAAGAAGTTAAGAATCACAGTGCATATCAAAAGGTGTTGATAATGTCAAAACATTACGATCGGAAAATACATGTTAAGGAACACAACCTTGACAATAACGAAAACCCCTGGACGTAACAAAGAAATATTTGACTGTTCCCTGTCCAATTATTGCTTTATAACGAATCATACCTTATATGGTAACTCTGATATTTGTAAAAACTTTGGTCCAGTATTGAGGCTGCAGTCTGCAGCAGCGAAACAGGGCAATTTTTGTTATAAGTGTCTGACAACATTATGCAAAGGATCCCTACAGAGAGAGACCTTTTTGAAAGAGAAAGATCCATTTTGTTTAACCAGAAACAGTCGCTGTAGTGTTCTCAACAAAGTCACCAATCTCCATTGATAAAAACAGTAATTTTACCTCACAACCCGGCTCTGTCAGTTAGTTTGTGTATTTTTGTTTGACTTAGCTGCTTTTGTTTGTTTGTGTAACTGTGTGACTTTGGTGTTTTAAAAGGGTTAGAGTGGTAGACTAGAAATGTAAAATTACTATTTTTGTCACGGAAGTATGGTGGCTTTGACAAGAGCGATATGGCGACTATTTCTGGTTAAACAAAAAGGATCTTTCTCTTTAAAAAGGTGAATCTCTGTAGGGATCCATTCCATAATGTTGTTGTTGAAATAACAATCTGGCTGCTCTGGTGGTTGACGAATTAGGTTTATAGGTGCATTTCTATGTTTGATCCAACGTTCTCAGTTTGATTCTGGATGCATACCTTTTGACACACATCATCATCATCTTCAGTCAGCCCCTTGCTTTCTTTCTTTCTTTACTATCAACAATCAAATAATGTTGGAAATGCCATATTAGTCTTAAAAAATAAAAATAATATTAAAAATAGCGTTGGACTGAGACCTGCACATCCTTTCCTGCTTTGGCACTAACCATTAGAAGACCAGGCTTAGGAGCACATAATCATTCAAAGCACCAAAACTGGTTTTCAGACAGCCGCAGTGACTCACGGTTGGCCGACAGGTGTGTTCTCCTGCACGTTCAGGATGTAGGTGGAGTTGGTAAACTGCGGCGGTCGGTAGCCAGCCAAGATGGCCACTGTAGCCAGCGGACCTTTGCGGCCATGCCTGTCCGTGGCCTGCACCCGCAGAAGGTACTCCCTACTGGGGGTCAGAGGTCTTCCTGTGGTCCTGACCTCACCAGAGCGACGATCCACCTCGAAGCACTCCTCCCCACCTGGATGCACAGAGTCAGAGAACAGAAGAATGAAGGTTAAAACAGACGTTGTAGAGTGAAGTCTAAGGGTATCTGTTTTTTCATACCTTCCAGACATTTCACCGGGGTATATGACGGTATTTGCTCAAGATAGAATTCATTAGAGCATGTAGGACATTGTCTAGCCTCCAATACTGTGTGTCTAATATGCAATTAACCTGCTTAGTGTACGATGTGCTCTACTAAGTGTCATTTGTTTTCCATTCAAAGTCGATTACTTCGATCACTTTATTAATGGACAACTAGGAGACCAGTGTTCGTTTCCCATGTAAAACAAAAAGTCATCCTTGATTCTTTTTAGTTATGTTAAGTTACGTGACTTAACTTAAGTAACGTTATTTTAACCCAAATGTGATCTTTTCTTAAACTTAACCAAGTAGTTTTGGTGCCTAACCCTTACCAAATTGTGACGTTTTTATTTTGAAAGTCAAACCGGACTTGCATTTTTATTCTTGCTCACTTGACCAAGAAGCTAAAGGGTACACAGAGCGTTAAAAAGCAATGCTAAGGGGTCTTAACAAAGCGTCTATATGTAATGAGTTGGGAATGAGGTCGTGTCAGCCAGAGCTCTGAATTTTGCTGACCAGATGCACAGAAACGAAGAGAACAATAATATGATAGAGTAAAGTTGGTAGTTGGCAGTGAGAGTTTTGGTTCAGATCTGGTGTGCAACGGGAACAAAAAAGGAGTTGGGGAAGGATGAATGGATGGATGGATGAGAGAAGAATGGAAGAGAGGAATAAAGGAAGAGAATACCCAGCTGTTGACCAGAGGGTTTTGAACTAGCAGCAGCTGCATCCAAACCGTCAATCATTTCGTTCTGCGCTGTCTATTTGTGGAGAGATTTTTCTGACGTGAGTTCATCTGAAAGAGTTCCTGCTTGTTTCTGTCTCAAGGCTCTTACTGGTCAGTTTTATTATCTCGCCAGCACAAATCACATAAATTTAAGTGTAGCCCTGGTGTAAAATATTTAGATTAAAATAAATTAGTTCCTAGTAAAAGCAGAATAAAATAATTCAGTATAGAAATTAAGTTAATTAAGTTTAGCTTAATAAGGAAAGAGTAATACTTAGCTCAGATATTAAGATAATTTATAAATGAGATGAAAATGTAAATATTTGCAAAATAATGCAAATATGGGGTGGTGGTGGAAAAGTGGCTAAGACACTTGCCTTTGGTGTGAGTGACCCAGGTTCGAATCCACTGTGAGACACCTATATGTCCCTGAGCAAGACACTTAACCCCTCGTTGCTCAAGAGGCGTGCGACCTCTGACATATACAGCAATTGTAAGTCGCTTTGGATAAAAGTGTCAGCTAAAGGAATAAATGTTTTATGTTTAATTATTTGGTGGTTTTGGTGAAGGTATTTGAGTTTAATATTCTTTCTAAAACTAGAGGTATATCTTGTGATTTTGTATTGTTTTGTGTTGCTGCATTATCTGAAGAATCCGGTGGATACTTTTTGTATTACATTTAAAAAGGAAAGCAGCCAATAAAATATTATTCCTTTCAATAAAGAGAATTGTTGGGTCAGTTATTTCAAATGTATTATGTAGAGAGATTCAAATGTTAAGTTTGACAAGTTCTGTGTATATTAAAAGGGTATTTTAGGAGCCACCCAAAACAGGTAAACCTTCGTGTTAGCTACCTTTTGAAACGCACACCGAACCCATAACACCCCATCAGTCAAGTCTAAAGCTAATCATAGTCGCTTAGGTGCTTATACAGTAACTTTAGTCTGAAACCACACAGCAAACCTGCGCTCAGTGACGGTATCTGGCAACTTGTGCTTTAGCCTGAGACATGTTCAAAAGTTGCAGCAACATCGTGAATGTGAGTTCTGAGCAGCATAAATAAAGGTTTTCCCAACTCATTTTGACATCCAATTGACCGCTAAAACCCCTCCAGTGTTTTTTTTTTAGCCTTTCCAAAGGCAACTAACATGAGTTAAAGCATAAGGACTGGATAAAACACTTGCTGTGTCTAAATAAACGCCTTTCCATACTTCCACACTTGTTGTCTTTGAGTGCATAAGTGTGTTCACACTGACGTATGGCTAAAAGCAGTGCACTATGATTACCCAGATGATGGTGTATAACGGTCAGAAAGTTGAGTGTGGAACGCTGGACATTTCTCACCATCAGTTGTCGCAATCTCGGCTACATAGCGTAAGTCAACAAAGGAGGCCAAGGAAGCTGCGGATGTGATTGAAGAAGTAAATTAATTTTTAATACAATTGAATTGAAGTCCTGTGAGCAAACAAGGCATCAGAATCTTTAGCAGATGACAATTGCAGTCAGATTATGGTGATAATGATCTGTCCGGTTTGGGGGTTATCGCGACCCATATTTACGTTTATAGTGACCTCTAGTGGCCAAACATTAGCAAAACAGGAAGTCGGGTTGCGATCATCGTTTCCGAAGTGCACATCAACCGATGATGTGAGGCAACACTGCCCTGTCATAGTTATGCACTATGCAAATAAGTGTACACAGTGAACTGCATGTTTGTGTACTAATAAAAGTATCCCAATTGATTTGTCTGCTCTAATATATGCTGCAAACATTAGCAAAACTATCTTCCAGCTGTGGTTTACTCTGCTGTTGTTGCTGGAGTCAGCTGCTGCGTTGGCTGCAGCTGAGCTGTGTGACTGCAGCACCAGAGGGCTCTGTCAGCTAACCGGTCGGTCGGCTCATTAGCTTCCCTCAGCAGCACGTGCGGAGCTTCTCAACTCTGCAAACGTTTGAGCACATTTGTGATTCGCCATAAATTCTTGTAAAACTGCCAACATTCAACATCTACACATTTGATTCCTCGCCTCAAGACTTCTCAGAAGTGGATTTAGTGATGAAATGGTGTACCAAACTTGTAAAAGTTGTTCTTTTATTGTCCTGTCTCTCTGCTGCTTTCGGCTTCTCCTGTGTCGTTCGTCCCGCCTCCTTCCGTTGCGTAGCTAAAATGGCGGCTGTTCGCACACTCAACTTTTTGGCCGTTAAGAGTGCACCATCCGGGTACTCACAGTGCACTGCATTTTGCCATACTTCTCAGTGTGAACGCACTTATGCCCTCAAAATAGAATGTGTAAGAATGGAAGTGCGTGAATTGAGACACAGCATCAGTTTTCATCCAACTTACGGAGTTAGCATTAGCTAGCTAACGGCAGCTGTTTACATCTGCTAGACTCAGTCGTCATTTCAGCTGACAAAGTCTAGCTGTCAGCCGGAAATGAGAAGCCTTTATTTGTTTACTTCTGTGTAAAATAAAAGGCCCACCCAAATATGACTACAATAATTTGGGCGGTAACCATAGCAACAGTCATGGGGCCTTAGCGGTAAACTGATGGATGACCCATACTTGTGAAGACTTTTTACACAACCCCCATTTTCCATCCTTAAATAATTATAATCTTAAATTGTGTTTATTAGTATAGTAGAGAACAACAGAGAAACAATTTTGAAATTTTTTTTATAGCACACCTAACTCATATGATGCACAAACTTTTTTTAAAGAAGCACTTTCACTCCACTGTCCTGTTGCCGAAACACAAACTGTAAATTAATGCTGCTAATTAGTTTACACACACACACACTGCCTGAATATATTTCCATATTGGCATGATATTAAAAACATTTTTAATGTAAATTATTGGATTATTCGTTAGTACACATGTAGTCACATTACGCCAAAGGGAAGTCAGAAGCTCTTAATATGAAAGCATTAGAAATTAGCTCTCAAAATATCTCTCCTACTCCTTCCTCCTCCTTCCTTCTCCTCTTCTCCTCTAAAATAGCTAATGTATAAAAAATAAAAAATCCACAGCCACCGGCGCCCATCCGCCCACCCTCCCACTCGCTGCCTCTCCAGAGACTTTCCTATTATTCCCGAATCTGGGAGCTTTCTTTGCCCCAGGGAGCGATTAACAGCGCGGCTCCATGCCGTTTATGTGCGTTTTTCTCTCCCTCTCCCACTTGACGGTAATTGAAATTCAACAAGTCAAATTTTATTTATAAATCGCTCCTTTTGAACAAAGCAGGTTTGTCACAGAGTGCCTGGCGGAGCTGCAGCGGACCTAATTACAGATACAGGCAGGAGATAAGAGCAGGAGCAAACACATGACAGGTTTTAGGAAAATATGACTGTAATATGAAAGAGGTTTGGCTGTGGTATGTTTTTTAAATTCTTAGATACATTGCAAATATCAGAAGAGACGTGAATTTGGAACCCTAAACATCTTTTCATGCATTTTCATGACGAAGCGGCCTTTACAACATACACATAGATGTTTTATGTCAGGGGACTAGCCCTGAGAAATAGGTGCAATTGTTTCCCACAGGATTTTGTGAGACTTGAACATTTGTACATTTAAAGTTAAATGCATTAATCTGGTGCACTTTGAGAGCAAAATTAGGATGCTAGAACTTTTGTGCTCTATTAAAAAAAATTTATTATAAACACATTGTATAAATATATGGTGTGGGAGACCTGGGTTCAATTCCCACTGTGAGACATCCACCATTGTGTCCCTGAGCAAGACACTTAACCCCTAGTTGCTCCAGAGGCGTGCGACCTCTGACATGTATAGCAATTGTAAGTCGCTTTGGATAAAAGCGTCAGCTAAATGAATAAATGTAAATGGTGATGGCACAGCAAAAAAGTCAAGACATTTATTTACTGTTTTTCCAGCAACACAAAATAAAAATAATAAGTAATTTTTAAAAAACTTTTAATAGACACATGTAACATGTTTTATACTTCCTGTGAATATAATCAATCTTATTTCCATAGTGTACATCTGTTGTGTTAATATAACCGAACGTATCCTCGCACTAAATTCATCCAGTCCGACCCAGTTTGATAAATAATGTTGTATGTGGTTCTCGTACGGCGTAACATGAAGACTTCACAGCCTCTCTTCAGGTAGGACTCTCATACTGCAACACTTGTCTTTGTAAAGAGACAAACTGACAGGATAAAGTCTCTAACCTGCCTGTCAGCTCGCTCTGGGCCGTTACTGTGGACTTACCATAAAGGCTTGAATACGTGTGCACTCCAAATATAGGTGTAGCTAGATTGAAAGTGTTTTCACAAACGACAGTGGATCCACCCAAAGATGCTCCAAAATGTAGTTAACATTGCTGTACTTTTTCAAATGAAGTGGTTGTCTTTAGTCGGATGCTTAAGTTTTTGAGCGTGTGAGTTTACAGCAGCATCACAAAACACAACGTTAGAGGTCTTTAATGTTAGAAGTCTAAAATTTATTTTAGGTTCATTTTGAAACTTAAGCGGAACAAATTAGACTGTGGCGGGCCTTCAAAGTTTCTGTAATAATGGGAAACACTGGGTGTCCACATATTTTTGGCCATACAGTGTCCATCTTACCTTATTTTTATAGTTCATAGAAAATAAATGATAAAATATAATTCTCACCGTCCAGTAGGAAGAACTGGGCTTGTCCAAGCGTCCCATCTCGCTGCCGTGCGGACAGTCGGTACACTACAGAGCTGGGCGTGGCGTCAGGACCCACAGCGCCCAGGTAAGGCGATGGGAACATTGCCCACTGCAGGTCAGCCTGGCTGGGCATGCTCAGAGTCAACCTGCACAGGTACCACTCATCACCTGGAGGAGGGAAAAGAGAGAAAGAAAGGTTACGTTGTTATTTTGTGTAAAATATGCAGATTATTGCTTGTGATGACAGTAGTGACTTCACTATAAAAACAATTAACAGTTGCACTTTAAAAAAGTGAAAAATAAAAATAAAAACTACAAAGTAAATAGCTTGGAGGAAGTTCAGGGACCAAAGAGTCTGCTGGTGGTTGCTGTTTTTCACAATGATGAATTTCATTCATTAGTTTTAAATGTCTTTTATTTGTCGCCCCAAAATCGTTCCTTCTCCACCGATATTATAGCCCCTGCTTGCATAACAGACTAAAACACCACTTTACATCCACTTTATATTGTTTATGTGACCAGTCTGACAGATGTGACTTAATTATCCTAACACCAAACACCAAAGCAACACCAAGGGAATGAGCTGCCTGCACTTAGACCAGACTCACAAATCCACCCATTGATTGTAATGCTTATAAAGTCGCTATGACTAAAGTGTTAGCAAACCATTGTTTATTTTCACATCCAGCACACAACATGATCCCAGTGAGGTGGTGTTTGTGTCCACCTGATGAGTGTAATTCCAATGTTCACTCTCCTTTTAGCTCTGAAGATGACCCTCTGTCTTCACCAGCTAGTCTCTAACTGTGTCTTTTTGCTGTTAATGTTGATTTATTAGCTTGTTTGATAAAAACTCAGATCTAAAAGAGGCTAAAAAGCTTTGAAGAGCTGCAGAGTTTGTGAAAATTCCATTTCCATGGAGATTAATGAAAAACATGACGTTAGAAGTTAATTGTCATTTTGAGCCAATATCGTGTGCGTAAGTGTGTTTTTGAATGTATTTATTTTACAGGCTGTTTTACAAAATCTGGAAACAACTGTTGTTTTGTGTGTTTTTCATTTTGTTAGCTTTTGCTGCAGTTGTTGTCAGTCTCTACTTTGTAGTAAGGCAGCTTGTTAGCTAAGCTAGCGCCACTTGTTCAGACTGCGGCATGAAAGCTGAGCCGCTCTCAGCCGAAGGGGATGAGGTGACATTTCTGTACAACACCCGTCGTGTTTTCTCATCATTCATCTCCACCTTGCTGCTCCGAGAAGACAAGAGTGAAGGAGTGACGGGGAGGAAGAGAGAAAGGCAGGCGGCTCCTCCAAAATAAAATAACAAAACTTTCAGAAGATTACACGGCAACATCCACACAGCAGGAACTCTCATTCGCCCAGTCAAAAATACACACACACATCTGCATCTGTGAGTTTACTCGCTCTTCTTCTTTCTTTATGTCTTTCTTCCTGTTGTCTGGTTCTGAGAAGGGATTTGTTCGATTTGAAGGTGCTTCTGCGCTTGCTGTTGTTTTGGCGGTTCCTGTGTTGTTTTATGGCAGCGAAGGAGACAACAGCCTGAACAAGAGAGAAAACTTCACTTCAGAGAGACAAAAGAAGAAGACAGAGGGATGAGGAGACAGGAGGAAGAGGAGGAGGAGGAGGAGGAGGAGGAGCGGTGGGGCAAACACGACAGCGTCTGCTTCTGTCTTTTCATATCATCTCTGAAGGTCTGTCAACAAACTGAGAGCAGGAGAGGGAATGAGAGGAGGAGGAGGAAGAGAGTAACAGAAAGATGGAGAGAGGACAGGAAGAAGAAGATGAAAGAACAGGAGGAGAGGGAAGAGAAGAAATAGGGATGGAGGAAAAGAAAAGAGAGTAAGGAGAAGAAGTGGAGGGAAGAAGAGTTTGGTCTTTAAACACACAAAAGTTGAGAAGGAGGAGAAGAAAAGGAGAGGGATAAAGTGATGAAGGAGAACAAGAGTCTTCCAGCTCAGTGCTCCTCTTGTGTTCTTCTACGTCGCTGGTCTTCAGTCAGCCCATAAAATCCAGAATAATCACATCTATTCCTGCGTGTTGTTTTACATATGCTGCATGCTTGAAAGTGAAATGAAATCAACACGTTCAGATGCAGCGCCGGCGGTCAGCACATGTGGCAAAAACTATAAAAGCTCAACCTTTCTGTATGGAAACAGGGGTGAGGGGCTGTCAGCTGGACGAAATGTCTCCTTCATAGCTCCAGGCTGATGAAAGGTCACTAACACCAGAATAATGACATTTAATTAATGCTGTGATGAGATACAGCATGTTTCTATAGAGCAGGCCTGAATATAAGCTAATGTTTGTTTTTTTCAAAGAAATTGCATGTTAAATGTGAGGGTTGTATTATTTTCAAGGACTAGACATGGAATACTGGTCCCTGTGTTACAGAGTAAGCCTGCTAAGCTACACTGAGAGGAGAGAGCTTTTCAGGGTTACGTAATTTTAAAAGATAACGTTACAGACACAAACAATTTTGTGTTGTGATCAACAACTCACATGTGTGTTCTTTGAATACCAGGAGCTATTTTGTACAAATGTGGAACCGTAGCATACATTTAAACTGTTTATGTTATTCTTGTTTTTATTTAAAATGTCTGACATTATCCTTTTTAATATGTAGTTGTAAACATATGTCCTTTATCTTAATAAAAAATAGATTCAATTTTATTTTTAGGACACATGTTCTAACAACCAATGAACATTTGGATTTTTTTCGGACCTATGTAGATCAGCCTTAAAAATAGATTATCCTTAACTTCCTGCTTTATCATATTGAGTTATAAGAGGGATGAAAGAAACAAGTGTTTGAATCATCCTGGCTTTTGACTATTAAACTTGCCTCGCTTCTGTAATGAAATTTAAAACTTCAGGATGTGTTAAAATACCAACTAATCTGTCATATGAGCAGGACGTCGACACATGAAAAAATAAACACAACTTTGAAATTACAGAGTGAGTGAATTTGCTTTCCATGGTTGAACACAGATCTTTGGTATAACTCTTTCTGTGGTTCCGGTAAGTACTGTGTACTGTGCTGGTGTAGTTTGTCATATCAGACTTGTAAGAGCCCGGAGAAAATTGCTGTGTTACTTTTGTCCCGTGTTTCATTCAGCTGCCAGAACAAATCATTCAGTAGTGTGGAGAGTGTGGGTATGTGACCGATGCACTCCAGAGCCAAAACATAGTTGGATAAGCTACACAAATGTAGGAGTTGTGTTATGTGTATCTAATAAAGTGTTTCTCATCTTCAAAAATTTTTTTTTCCCAAAAGCAGGTGAGGGAGAAGGTGAGTTGTCTTATACTTAAGGCCAATTTATACTTCTGCATTGAGTGCACGCTCATTACCAGCATTTATACTTGTGCACTGCTGTCTGCGTCAAAATGCTAGTTGGCTGCAGGGTTTCTGTGTTCCACTGCCTCCTCCGGCCGAACAGGCTCACTTCCGGTTCTTGTTGAATGTGGATAAAATGAGAAATAATAAGTGGATCAAATTCTGATAGTGAAACGAGTCATTTTGTGTGTTGTTGTTGCTAAAAAAAACAAACAAAAAAATGACTCTTTCCCAATGTAAGTCTATGGGAAAATGTTTGGTTTGTCCACTCGTAAAACTGGCTTCAAAGCACAGAGAACTCTCTGGGGGCTCAGAGGAAATGAGTAGGAAATCACAGTCACTGCGATCTGCGTTGCCACGACGTGTAGTCACATTTTTGGGGAGGTGAGGAGTGAGACCTGCTGGCTTTTCTACTAGCGCCACCCTCAGGACAAACTTTATATTTTTAGATCGTCAACTGGTATGACGCTAAGAATACAGAAATCATCTTTAGGTTGTTTGTTGCTGTCAGTAATTATGAGTGTAATGGCTGTACTTTTTAGCTTATAGCCAAATATTGGGGAAATGTTTGTTTTCTGAAGTGAACTGCAGCAGGTTTTTATCATATGACACTGTCCAGCACAAAGGTGATGTCACAAGTTCTTGCTCTATCCAGCTGAAGAAGTTCAGCCTCCTCACAGTGCAGCATTCCTTCGTATCCTTCCACTTGGCCTCCTCAGCGAAGGAAATGAGCCTCGCGGCCTGAGTGGTGAGCGGATCCCTGATGTGAGCCGCTGAGCTTGGGCCATAACTCACTGAACACATGCATGCATGCATACAAAGATGCAGAGGAATGTCCGGCTCAGGGCTGCAGCCTGCCTGGAGCGAGGAAGAGGAGTGGAAGATGAGGAAGGGCTGAAAACCTGATTGCTGAGCAGTCACACAAGGATGGACGTGTTTGTTCTCTCAAGCACGACATAATTCTTCTTTCACATCTCAGCCTGACGTTAAATAAGTGTAAGATGATGTTAGTACATTTAATTTAAGCTTCTCTCTTTAGCATTGTGTAATTTGTATTTGCTCAGGTGATTCTGAAAGAAATCTGCAGGCGAGTTTAGCTGTGGATCGGGTTTTTTGGACTCTGTAACCAGTTAAGAACGCATGAAGAAACACTTGAATATGAGCCCCACTTTTTTCTGCTCAGCTTCCCATCCATGAATAATTGCATCCCTTTACTTCCTACCCACAATCCCTTGTGTTTTGGGGTCACTTCCTGTTGTGGGTTAGATTAAATGTTCCCTCCCAGTGAACTGCACCGCAGCTTTTATATTAGAGGAGTGAGATTAGCATTTTCAGGCATCTCAGTATCTCTCTGGGTCTTTAACCCGTCCCTTTGTTTCAGTGTCGCCCTCTGGTTACTTTAGTTTCTTTACACAGCAAAGTTTTGATCTGTTCAACTGTATGACATATGAACGCAATCATAAATAGACGAGTCGATGAACTGTGAAGTAAAGAAATGCGATACAGTCTCATTTATCAAAAGTAAATACTGAGCTGAGACCTCTCAGAGCACGCTTACTGTCTCCATCTGTGAAGGAACTGCCATTTGTTTCTCTTTTATAGCAGCTGCCGAGAACATTTCTTATTCTAACTGATGTCTGAAAAGAGTGGAAACAGCCCACACAGTTTCTCTGAAGCTGCAGCAGCAGCTAACACAGTCAATCAGTGCTCTGCATGTTTAGTCTACATGCTAAGTCAGAGAGTCTGCAGCAGTATGGCAAGCCACCTGATCAAAAATATCTACTCTCTCATTAAATTATGTGGTTGATATTTACGTCTT